GGTGAGTAAGGTCACACCATCTTGTTCTTCATAACTTATATTATTTTGAACCTAGCCATCCATATCCATGCAACTGGCCTAGTGATTACCCCCTGATCAAATCAGCGCGAATCTTTCTAATGAAGTACGTATCATAATCGAGGATTAATTATAAATGGCTACACTACTTTTATGAACATGAAATCTACGACATGAAGAATAAAACATGCAGGAGAGATTGATTGGTAATTGTGTTTATAATAATATTTAGCCAGTTCGCCAAAGTTGTCAAAACTGTCTTGAAGTATTCAAAGATAGACAAAATTATCTGTGGATCGCCTTGACCAAAAGCAGAGCGCCAATATAATTTCCAGATCGCCTTCTAAGAAGCAGAAAGCCAAGATTGATATACATTGGATGAAAACATACCTGACTTTCGAGGGAATCGTGTTCTATACAAATGACCTTACAAGAAGGGTTACTAAAATTCGCAGCCTATGTATTAAACAAAAGTAGTGTGTAATAAAATAACATTTAATATTAAAATGCTGGAATCTATATAATCAGAACCCAAATTACCGTCAATAGTCGGGCACTTTCGCAAGGGCTCATGTCTGCACGTTTGTATTGCTGGCAAAATATCTTGAGTAGCAGTTTCAGTCTGAGGTCCCAAATCCTGATGTCGAGAGGAGTGCTGAAAGACTTGCGGTCTCAGCTCGCCTCGAGACACATGAACTGGGAGGCGGGGGTCATCGCGTGCGAAGATAGCCCTGCCAACCATTAGAGGAATGGATTCGCCAGTAGATATCTACAAGGATTCAAGACATAATTTGAAGCTTAAGATAAAAATCAGGAAAATATGTATGATCAAATCATGCATAGCGATTGTAGTATCTAAAAATAAAAACTTTCCCCTTACTTCCAACTAGTAAAAAATACCTCTTTAGAAGCTGGTTCGACAAATAAAACCAAGAAAAGATTTCTACAAATGGGTTGACATCGTTATCGCAACTTGGGCTTGTTGTAAGGGCTAGTTAGTAGAAGGCACCTAGTCCGAAGTCGTCTGCCATAGTAGTTGTCATGATTCCCTGCATCAGACAGTGGATTTGGTACATTGTCAAACGTTTCGCCAGCAT